GCACATTGGGATTATTATTGGAGACTATTTTGAGGCCTGCACTGGTAAAAAAATTTGCAATCATTAAGATTGACCAAGTCTCTTCTGCTCACCAAGGTTGCTTTTTTTTTTTTTAGCTCAAAAATACAGTAAAAGTAGTGAAATATTGTTACTAGGGATGCACCGATACCGATACTGGTATCGGTATCGGGCCCGATACTGGCCTCCTGTACTCGTACTCGTACTCGTTAAAATGCCCCGATACCAAACGCCGATACCACACAGCATGTGATAAGCGCCATATTTAAACAAAGAAACACTGACAACAGACAGCAGAAAGGAGTTATGGATGTCTACTACGAAGTATATGTATGCAATAAATATAATGTTAAACATTCAGATTCAACTTCCAAAAGTGCATTCATCTTTGCCATGTTACATTCATTTAGTTGACTAGTGCTATACGCTGTATTAACAAAAACATTAATGGCATAAATAAAAACACTTACACTGACAAGCTACGCAATATCGCTTTCATAATCGAATGTGACTCAGCTGGGATTATGAACGCGATATTGCAGTGATCTACAACTCTGTGTATTAAATGCCGCTCCATCTGAAAGCACGTGATGGAGATTTACCAATTTAAAATAACATAATATAATGTATTCCTTTAATTTAAAGCTATCATTACTCCAGATCCTTCAGAACTCATTCTAATAATTATTGATACTCAATTAATAATGGTTTTTATTATTATCAATGTTCAAAACAGTTTTCGCTGCTTAATATTTTTGTGAAAACTGTGATATATTTGAAGAGTTTGGTTCCAAAACGCTATAAATCCATTTTGATTCATTTGAGTAAAAATGTGTTTTCTTTACCAAGAAAGTGGCAAGATGAAAACCACTATTTTCTGTTTCAAACTTTCACATAGCATCTTTAGGTTATAATAACATTAAAAATTCAAATCCAGATTTTGATTTTCAAAGATTTATTATAAAATGTTATTATTTTTTTCTCCCAAAATGCAATAAATCCATTGAATCAATATAAAAGTTATGTTTTATATTGAAACTGTTGAAAATACACAACATAGTAAGTTGATCCACATATGACAGCCTCTGAACTTGGTCAATACTAATCTTATTAATAGCTTACGTTTCTTCCCCACCGCAGAAACCACCACAGGTTCAT